ATGGAATTGACGCATGTGAAATACTTGTCTGGGTGCCTAGCACATAGCAGTCATCCAGTTAGTGGAAGTTATAAATAATATGAGGTATTGAGTAATAGAAGCAATGATGTCATTGCCAGCATGAACAGAGCAATCAGGTGATCGATGTAGTGGTGAGAATCAGATAATCTATGCACCCAGTAGCCATATAGAAACTGTCTGTGGGTCTGTATTCCCCCTCAGGCAAGGTGTTTAGAATTTTTATATGTAGTCTCAATTAGGCTAAGCAGTTCCTACCAGAAAGTGACAATGGTTATATTAATTCATTATAAAGACCTTCAAAGCTTATAGACTTTGCCCCTATCTTCCTATTCTGAAGGTTTCTTAAACCCGTGGTCCATTTAGCTACCACCATCTGTCAGACCTCTGCTGAAGTCACTAACCTTTCAAGAGAAACTTAATAAAAAGCGAAACTATTTCTATGAAGATTGATTAACCAAAATCTATCTTATAATTTTTGGGCCAGCTGGCAACTGCCCTGGTAAAGCTAGATACAATTGTGTCAAAAGCAAGAGTCATTTCTATTTGCTTCATTAGCAACATGAAGATTTATTAGCACCATATGGCTTGGTTTCATACCCTATTTGGAGAAACAAAATTAATTACTATGAAATGTTTTGATATTTTGATTCAAATGGACTTTCCAGAGAGCAGGAATGATGTCTCTGACATGGGGCTCACTGTGAATCGGTGACTCGTGGTACACTTGGGGTCTCTACATACCAGGCAGTATACTACCTCTGACCTACCTCAAGTCAGGCACTGGTTTAGCCTTTGCTGGACTCTGGGTGTATCGAGTGGCCTCAGAGAGTTCCTGAAGAGCCTGGGGCATACTGGAGCCTAAGAAGGATCTTGCTGCCAGCTGGCAGGTGCCATGCTCAGAGCATCCTCACACCTAAGTTTTCATGTCTGATCTCAGATCTGAATTAAGTCATTTGCAGATGAGTGGAAGCTGAAAGGGACATGCTTCTGAGATCCTCGGTGATGAGGAGAGCTTGAGTGGAGCCATGATGAACTGGTGAAAGGCCAGGCATCCAGATCTGGTAGCAGTCCGCCCCCTCGTATGGGGAATAATTCCAGAGAGGTTGAACACCACTTAGAGGGTCAGAAAGTCTCACTCTGTCTCTGGGAAACTGAACCTGGGTCTCTCCGTGGCTTGCTAACATAATGGGTTCCACTGTGTTCATGGGCATTTTGCTGCTTTGAATTTTCAGTGGATTTTAGAAAAGTGAGACTTTTAATTTCACCTACTATTTGGCACAGAGTCCTTGACCAAGTCCATTGCCTTCAAGGCATTCGGGTACTTGTTCCTTCTCTTGTATGATTTCATAACTCTTCTTCTAAACTCTATTGTGGTCCCATACGGCCACTGAATGAGTATTGTCATAGGCACCCTGTCATTCAACACCTTGGCACTGCCCATGCTTTTCTTAGACTGTTGAAATTCTTCTGAGTGGGTAAGTACCATTCAAAAAACACCACATTTCGGTGTGAGCATCTCTCTTCCATATTCTCTTATGTATGTGTAGCAAAGGTGGGTACTGTGTGAGAGAGGGACAGAGAGTATTGAGATTTCTGTTTTATATATTTTTGATGTGTTAGCCAATAGTAATGAAGTTCCTTATTCAAAAGACAAGGAAAAGGGAAAAAATGAACCCCCCCCCCCCCCCCCCCGCTAAGTATAGCAATCACCATTAACTTTGCTTCTTCCTAGACAGCTATAATTATAATTATGCTAACCTGGTTGCATTTACAACACGTAATTCATTTTCACAGCAGTCCCATGTAGTACTAACATGACTTTATTATGAGTCTTTTTAACATTTCTTATGTTAGGCACAACCCCACCCCCACCCCAATTTTTTTCTGCTTTAATCAGTATTGTGATGAATGTCTTCAAAAGCAACTTTCTTTAGGCCAGTGGTTCTCCACCTTCCTAACACTGCCATCCTTTACTAAAGTTCCTCATGTTGTGGTGACCCCAGCCATAAAATTATTTTTGTTGCTACTTCATTACTGTTATAAATCGCAATGTAAATATCTGATATACAGATATCTGATATGTGACTCCCAAAGGGGTTGAGACCCCCACAGGTTAAGAGCCACTGACTTTGGCCTTTTCTGTCTCTATGGGCTAGGTTTAAGCAGTGGAGTTACTGGGTCAAAGAGTAGACTAGAAACACTTTAACAGTATATGAAGGGTGTTTCACTTTGGTGTTGCCCATTACTTTACACTGTCTTTCTTAGTAGAGCTGCCAGTGACTGGCTGATGTCCCACCATTTACCCTTAGTGTATTTTAAGCCCTTTCTAGCTTAGTGACAGTTAAATAGACATGGTCACCCAGAGAAGCCAAGAGTTTGCAGGTCCCATGCTTTGGGTCTAGAAGATCCATAGGAGTATCAGGAACTATGTGGAAAGGCCTGACCTGACCCCTTGCAAGTCCACTAACTATTTACTAATTAAGGCAGGAAGATGATCCCTCCTACTCTGCCTCTCCATCTGTACCCCGACAAGCCTCATCCTCCTTTTCCATCTTCACTATCTCTGCCTAAACCCAGGCCAATATCACATCCTCTTGGACTCATCCCCCATCTGCCTTACCCCATTAGGACTTCCGTGTAGGTGGATTTCTGTCCTTTTGAAATAAACTAAGAAGGACCCTCCCCACTCTGTAGGAAGGATCTAAAGGTGTCACTGTGATTCAAAACCCTTTATTGTCCAATTCAAAACTCATCTCTAGTCACACACACACACACATGCACACGCCAGACACCCTGGTTCTTCTCCTTATTCTTCTAAGAGGTCAAGCCAATAGACGTACCACCTCTTTCTGTGGTGCTTTCTCTCTCACATTCTCTTCATTGTTCCAGAGAGAGCCTAAGCAGGCAATCCTGGGGAAAGTCTCACTGTCCCAGCAGAGTGGATTCCTCTGCCCTCCATAGTGCCCACCTAGATTTACCTCAGTGGTGGTAACTGCACAGGGCTTTGGTGAGGGGACACCCCCCCTTCCAGGCTGCTTTTCCACCACTCTGGGCAGGCTTCTGGGTCAGGGTCCTGACTTCATTAACCCTGTGATGAGTGTTTGTTAAATGTGTGAATGCCCTCAAGATGCTGAACACATAATTACCATCTTTAGCATCTCAACCTCATTTTGGGAGCTGATACTGCTTTGTAAGCATTAGTATCATTGATGTATTAAATACCTTAAGATGTAATGAGTTTCTGTGCTGAGACCCTAAGAACATAGAGCGCAGTGCTTGGCGTTCAGTAGAACCCCTTTGCACGAAATCTCCAGCCCTTCTGTTGTGGTGCATCCCTTCCTCCATGACAGCACTAGCAGAGGTGCCACCAACAGAAGATGCAGGGAGGGTGACAGCCAAGATGGGGCGAGGGCTTGAGCCTTCTCTTTCCCAGTTCCTCACTCAGTACTACAGTGGCTGCAGTTCTGCTCCATAATCCTGCGCCATCGTCAGAGCTGTACGGTTTATGTGAAATATTAGCTGTATTGTTTTGTAAAGGATCGCTTTCTTCCTTACAAGGTCTCCGCATAATAGACTCTAGATTCGATGACCAACACTGTCCTTCATGAAATGATGATGGGTCAGAGTATTTCCTGAATTAAGCACACTATGCCCAGCCCATTTTCCGTGTACGTTTTAGAAGTCTTAATCGAAGTGGCCTTCTTTAAGGATCCTATATCAGCAAACGCATGTATCACAGTTTGGTTTGAAAGCCTTCAAATTAGTTATTAACATAATAGATGATTCACCAAACACTTAGTGTGGAACATGAATGAGTAGCCAAATAACATTTTAGCAGATACTGAAAAATGGATTTCTCATTACTACTAAAACATCCCTTATTGAGCTTTAGGCGGTAGTAATCAAACAGTAGAAAAAGTGTTGAGAGACGAGAGTTATGCTTTGTAATGTGTGATACCAGTTTTATTCCTCTGCTTTGATGTTCTGTGTTCTGTCCTTTATGTGTGTCCAGTGAACATCATAACCGCCCCCCCCCAGAGACCCTCGGGGCCTCTCTCAAGGAACACCAATCCCTGAGCACCCCAGCTTTCCTAAGGACCTTTGCCATGCCCAGTGCTCAGTGGTGCATGGTGCAATCTTTAGAATCCAAGCACAAAATTGCCCCACATTTGAAGTTGTCATCCAGCCAGTCCATTGATCTGGTGACAGGGCTTCTCCATGGATCAGCCCATCTCTGCTTTACTGTTGATCTGGTTTACTGGGGGCCACCAGCCTTAAACTCCAGAGGAAAAAACAAACTAGCTATTAACTTATTCATGGATCGGCATGAATAAGTTCAGAGGAGAAGGGAACTTGCCACGGAAAGGATGTCATAATGAGTAAATGAGGATGGTAGAAGATGATGTAAATTTCTAAACAAAATAAAGTAGTTTTTAAACATATTTTGGTCTTGAGAACCATAGTTTCCCAGTATTGAGAGGGGAACCAGCTAAATGAAGTAAATTTATGTAAGGGGATGGAAATGCCCTTGTTGGTGAGAAACCATCAAGTATCCCTGAAAGGTGAGGGGAACAATCCTCTAGGCTGATGTGGCTTATACCATGCCGTCATTCTCATCCTTGCCGTTTTCCATCATGGTTGACACTAATGGCAGTATCGGGGATTGGTAAAGTCCGGCTCTGTAATTGTGCCCACTGGACCCCTTGTCCCTTTCTGCCTCACTTTTTGGATAACAGCCTAAAGACACTTGCCCAGTGAGCAGCATCCCCAGGTGGATGTTGCAGTTAGTATTCTCTGTTAGCTTTTGTGGTCCTTGGTCAGTTGCTGGCCACAAGAAAGGGTCAAGAGAATGACAGACAACACTGTTGGGACTGGAGAAACAAATTCTGGAGATCATCAAGCATCATGCAGTTTTCCTAGCTGTTTTCTTTAGTTTCCCACTGGAAGATGTGAGCCTACCATGTTCTCTTTCTCACTAGAAGACACAATTTCGAAGAAAGTGGTATGTCACTTCAGTGGGAAGACCTATGCTGATGAGGAGCGGTGGGACATTGACAGCTGCACACACTGCTACTGCCTGCAAGGCCAGACCCTCTGCTCAACCGTCAGCTGCCCTCCTCTACCCTGTGCTGAGCCCATCAAGGTGGAGGGAAGTTGCTGCCCGATGTGTCCAGGTATCTAAACCATTGTCCTTCTGCTTTCAAGCCAAATACAGCCCAGAGAGTGGGTCAGCCCAGTTGAGATGCTCCTACACAAAGGCCTCAGGGTAATTTGCAAAACTGTGACCATGGAGGAAAAGACTATACCTCTTCTGATGGGCCTACTCTACCCCTAAAGTGGGGTACAGCCTTGCAGGTATAGACAACCCATTAAAGCCAGCTGCTCTGTCAGAGTAGCGTAATTTTAGTGCAGCATTGGACCAGCCTAGGGAAAAGGGCTGAAGATCAAACCCAAAAGGGAGTATGACATGAATGTCTATCAGAACAAAAATGAAAGTTTGCAATTAAAGGGGATAGACCTGGATCATTCTTTATTCCGTTCAGCAGTTCTAGTTCATACCCCACCACCTGCAGCCTTTTTCCAACCCCTCGGCTGAACTCTTCTCTTCCCATGTGTAACATAACCACTGAGCACTTCACCCACCCCCACCCCACCCCCGTTGTGTCTCCTCTCACCCTTCTCCCTCACTGTCAACTGCTTTATTCGACCTCTCAGTTTCAAACCTGAGTCCCCACAGCTGCCCGGATCTTCCCCCCAGTCTTCTAGTTTTCTATCCCTGTGCCTCCTGCCAAAACAGCTCCTTTATCCCCTGCCCTAATCCCAGAACTGCGGAGCCATAGCTTCACCAGGACAGCCTCTGGGCAGTGTTCCCAATCTGATCCCATGCACACAAAAGATTCTCCAGGCAGTCCGGACCACACATAGGCTCCTCTCACACCCAAGTGAGGCCCTGAGTGAGATGAGAACCTTTTCATCATCACCTTGATACTCCTGTTTCCTCCCCCCATTGTGGTAATGAGTCTTTCTGTTCAGGACAGTAATTTGGAATCCATGTCAGTCTAGAAGTGTGGTTACACTGTAAAACTTTAAAAATGGCTCCACTAGACAGTGCTTAACTGAACTCCATTGGTCTTTTGTGGGGTCTCATGCAGATATACCTGTTTGAGAATTTCTAGGAATACCCAAAAAACCTTTAAAAAAGTAACAGTGGGAAATGCACAAGGCCTCTGTTCTCATCATACTTGGCTACTGTTTGGACTTTCCTACATCGAACTCCCTGCATGTGGCTTCGGAATCACTGACTGTGGCCTCTTCCTTGTCCTTAGCGTTCCTGTTTGCTTTCCCAGTCCCTCCTCAACTGACCCACTAGAATCTGGGACAAAAGCAAAAGTCTTATAGCCAACACAACTAGAGCAATTTCAGTGTTTCAGAGGACAGAGGGGACATTAGAGACAACAGCTGTACAACTCTTGGCCCAGGCCTTGAGTGCCAAGCTCCTAAGCAGGGTTTCCCTGTAAAGCAGGGTGGCCCTGGGATGCATCACAGAGAAGGGGGCTTCAGTGGTCTCTCTTAGTTGGAATGAAAAAGTCTCCTACCAAAGACCCCAAAATAGAAGGCAAGCCAGTGCCTGTAGGGTAAATAATTCCAGAAGCAAGTGGAAAAGGTAAATGATGACTTAAGATTTTTTAGGGCCTTGATTGTCAAATGAAGAGTGGAGATTTGACCTTTTGTTTTGAGCAGATGTGTCACATGAATGGAGTGGTATACACAAAGAACCAAAGCATGGAAAGACAGAGGCCAGTGTGGCTGTGACACATGCACATGCATGCACGTGCACGCACGCACGTGCGCACACACGCGCGCGCGCACACACACACACACACACACACACAGACACACACACACACACGGCTGGTGGAGTAAAAAGTCTGAGAAATGCTTTCACCCCACAAACCTAGCTACTGGCATCATCAGCTGTACAAATGAGGACACCTCCTGGGACAATGGCATTGACTTGAAGGCTGTATTTGGATTAAAGGTATTCACATGGCAATAGGCAGCTTACCCATCATCCCTCACGTGAAATGCTTCCTTCTGATAGAAATGTATGTGCCAGAGCCGACCAACGTACCCATTGAGAAGAAAAATCATCGTGGTGAGATTGACCTGGAGGCTCCCATGTGGCCCACCCCAAGTGAAAATGACATCATCCATCTCCCTAGAGGTAAGCACTGAAGTCGCTCGATATCTGTCCTGTCTTCTTTGTGATCTGCTTTGTTTATTTCTGATTAAAAAAAAAATGCTTTCTTTTCAAATGTCTCATGCAAGTTCACTAACTACCTTGCAGAAGAACTTGGCTGAAATGTATCAAACAGCTCAACATTAGTCAAACATGTCTAGAGATCATTGGATAAACGCCTCCTTCCTGGTTCTCCATGCTCCGATGCTTAGTGATGAGGGGAAAGACTATGTTCCTAGTCAGAAGAGCCTGACATGAAATGCACGTGCATGCATGTAGCAAAGGGGTAATGTTTCTCGCTGCCCCTTGGAGACCTGTACTTAGCCTGCAGCACCCCTCCTGCAGGTTTTTACCCCATGGAGCTTTAAAGTTTGACCTTGAGTTCATTTCTACAGATTTATGTCATTCCTTTCTTCTACTTTTCAGTTGTTTATAATAGACAGGTGAGTTTGTTTCTTGTTATTTAAGAGGCAAAGCATGGCTGTGTCCCCGTTGCCACTTCTCTTAAAAGGGAGATGGGTTTAAATTTACACTAAGCCCTGGCTCAGTGAGTGCCTCCTATTGACTCCAAGCACGCTTTCAAAATCATTGTGCAGTTTTTCTATTTCTTTTGGAAGAAGCAACGTGTATCGCTTAAGAGATTAATGATCTGTTACTTTAGAAATTATAAATATTATCTTTGGAGCAAAGCAGATGACCAGAGCCAAACCCCTGTCTGTACCCAGGGTTCTGGCTCCTCGTGCAGTTCCTCGGACTGGATATACATTTAGTGCTCTATGTTCAGTCACTCAGTCAGGGTGATATATATATGCATGCCCTTGTTGAAGATGAGGGTCTCCTACCATGAGAGCAGCCTCATCAGGTGTCGTCTGCTGGGGACCTGTGCATTACATAGCATCTGTTAAAAATCTCAGAGCAGGAAAATGCATGCTGCCCCTCGGCAATTCATTTTGCAGCATGTTGATGATTTTTGTTTCTGGTGTTTTCTTTGAGTTCAGGGAATCTCAAAGTTAACCTTCATGGTGACAGCAGGCATTTTCCCCCATGCATTCCTCCATTTGTTTGTTTGTTTGTTTGTTTATTGGTCTTCCTATAGACTTATCACCCACTGTACTGGCTGATGTGAGGAGAAGTGTTCTCTCCCATTCCTTCCCTCCTCTCCCAAGTCCACCCAGCAGCTCAGTAACAATAGCCTTAACCCCTTAAAGAGCAGTTCTTTGTAAGCTGAGTTTCCAGAACCACCTAAGAGCAATTCCTTTGGACCTCACGTCCTGTATCTTTCGCTCAGTGGCCCTTGATGTGTGCAGACAACCTGACTAGAATGGTTGACTTGAAATAAAATAACATTAAAGTTCCAGAAACTAGTGCCCTTTCCATGTCTCTACAGCTGCCGTGTGGTTTTATTTCTGTAGTGCTGGACCATGAGCATAGGAGGCAAGGACTACTGTTCAGCTTAGCACCTTTGTTTTTAGGTTTTTATTTATTATTTGGGGGCGGGCAGTATACACATATGGGGTGGGAGGAGAACTCTGGGGTCAGTTCTCTCCTTCCACATTTATGTAGGTTCTGGGGACTGAACTCAGGTCTTCAGGCTTGTCAGTACCCACAGAATAATACTTTCAAAGGACAGAAAGATACTCCTTCTTAAAAACTATTATTCCCCCTGTGTATGGTTCATTAGGACAAGAAATAAGGTATTTTTTTTCCAACAAATTTATTAAAACTAAGGATTTTTGCCTAGAACTCAGCAAATTAGGAAATCAACTTAGTTGTCTCATGGTCTCTTAATTCGAAAGTGTGGGGGGGGAGGCTATTTCCCTACTAGAACCTTAGCCCATCCAAAATCTTTTTTGTTGTAAACAAAGTATTATAATATTAATAACAAACATTTTTTGTAGTCACTTTTGAAAATCTACCCAGTGTTTTATATATTCCCAATTAGCTACAGGAAATACCTTCTTGCCTAGTAAGTAACATTGTTACCCTCCTTTTTTTAAATTTTTGTTGCAAGTTTTCTCTTAATCCTATTTACCTTCTAAGTACTTTACCCTGTAAGAGCTCTTTGGCTCAACATTAGACTTTAATCCTGTCTGTAGCCCAAAGTACTAGGAAGTAACAAAAGCAAGCTGCTGATCTGTATTTGCTGTGTTATTAAGACAATGCTCTAAAATTCTGGTGGTGGCACTCAGTGCTTGTCTCTTCTCTCCTAGATATGGGTCACCTCCAGGTAGATTACAGAGATAGTAGCAGGCTGCATCCAAGTGAAGACTCATCACTGGACTCCATTGTCTCGGTTGTGGTTCCCATAATAATATGCCTCTCCATCATAATAGCATTCCTGCTCATCAACCAGAAGAAACAATGGGTACCACTGCTCTGCTGGTACCGGACACCAACTAAGGTACCATCTAGTCTCTTGAGCAATAAATCCAAGAGTGCTTACACTCCTTTTTGCCTCAATTTTCTTAATACATTTTCTATTAGGCAATGTTATTTTTTATTTTGCCAGTCTTAATGTCAAGTATTTATCAAGCTGTAGCAAGCAGGCATGTAATATTTGCCCAGGGCTGGATTGAAGACTGGGTAAATTACCTGTCATCCACTGGTTAATGAGTCCTGACTTCTCATGGACCTAACACCTTGTATGTACATTTTTAAAAACATGTTTAAATGAGCTGATTGACACCTGCTGGAGGGAGTCTTAAATTCTCATTTATATTTGAAGCCAAAAGTTGACCATCTGGTATTTCTTGGTCATTTTTTGGTCTTTGAATGGGGAGAAAAAGAAATCACTAAAGAAGGGAGAAGACAGGAGAGGGCAAGAGGGGTTTGGAAGATAGTGAGGGTGCAAAGAAGTCAGGTGGACTTATCACAAGAGAGGGGCAGGCAAGACGTTGTGAAGAAAGTCACTAAGGTCCAGAGGCAGACTTCTCACCAAGGGACAAAAACTAGGCTTTTATTCTAATCCAAGGACCTCTTAATCATGCCTGTTTTTAAAAGGAAGTAAAGAGTTACATCCAAGTCTAATTCCTCCTTTTGTGTTTGGACAACCTGAATGGTTCACCTCCCCTCCTGCCCAGTAGGGTTCCCCTTGCATATAAAATTCCTGTCTGTTTTTTTAGTTTTGTTTTGTTTTTTTCTTTTGTTTTTTTTGTTTTTGGTGTGTGTGTGTGTGTGTGTGTGTGTGTGTGTGTAATATGCATGGGTACAGCCTTTATGCTGGACACATGGCTGGGTCCTAACATGGTGCTGAACAAGGGAAGACACCATCCAAGGCTAGGAAAACCCTGTTTAAAAAAGGTGTGAAGTGACAGGGAACAGACAGAAGTGGCCCCTTGTGAGACCGTCTTCATGCAGGCTCAGTCACTAGAAATCACTATTTGCTTTGAAATATTCCTGCCTTGTAACTTTACCAATTTCCAACCCTCTAAAATGCAAGCCTGCAGTCAAGGGTTCAAAAACAGTTCATATGTCACTTCACCAATGAAAATACTCATACAGCTATAATAAGACATCACTCCCCGCAAACACTCTGGCGATCGTCAAATACTGAAACTGTAGTCTCACCTGAGTTAGGTCCTGAGTTTCTGTCCATTTTTCGTACACAAGTCAGCCAAGTCTTTATGGGTTTTTCCTTTCTCTTCTCTCTCACTGAACAGCCATCTTCCTTGAATAACCAGCTGGTATCTGTGGACTGCAAGAAAGGCACTCGAGTCCAGGCCAGGGACGGTTCCCAGACAATGCTAAGAATTGCTGAACCTGATGCGCGATTCAGTGGCTTCTATAGCATGCAGAAACAGAACCATCTACAGGCAGACAATTTCTACCAAACGGTGTGAACACCAGCAACGGCGGCGGCGGCAGTGGTGGCGGCGGCATGGATGAGGTTTTGAAAGACAGAGAACGACAAAAAATCTGCTCTTTAAAGAACTAGAATTTGTGCACTTGCTTAGTGGATTGTATCAGATTGTGACTTGGTGTCCCGCACTAAGGACTTAACTGGGATGGGCTTTGTCTACAGCATTGTGCAGAACAAGCATTCCCACTTGGCCTCAAGATAACTGACCACATGTTTTCATAGAACCAAAGTTTTAAAACTTGCTAAAGTTTATTTGCTTGTAAGATAGCTGTAGAGACATTTGGGGGTGGGGCAGAGAGTTTGGTGGGGGAAATGGGTTGGGAGGGTAGCGTTGGGAAGAAAACTCGGTCAGCTTGGCTAGGGGAGAAAGCCAGGAAAATAAAAACAGTTCATGGCCCAGAGGAATTTTTTTTTTTTTCCTGTTGCTCTGAAGACGGTGTTGGTTGCTGCAAAGCTCGGACCTGAATGAGCAGGAACACAAAGAGCCTTGCAACCCAGCTGCCGCACCACCAGACAAGTGCATCAGAACTCTTGATAGCCATCCCAGGTCTAAAGCCACAAGTTTCTCTTCTATACAGTCACAACTGCAGTAGGCAGTGAGGAAGCCAGGGAAATGGATAGCAACATTTCTCAAAAGCGGGTTATTAAGGATATATACAGTTATTCTTTTTGCTGCTTCTGTTTTCTTCCGTGCCAATCAGCCAGTTCCTAGTAGAGACAGCAGATGGGTAAGGACAAAGTCACCTCTTGACTTGAGCACTGGAGCTTTTCTTACCACTTGGCAGGAAGGAAGTCGAGGGTGAAGGACACCAGGCATTTCCAGGGGCTATACTACATTGTTTGTTGTTGTTTTCTTCTGTTATATCGTTGGTTGTTCATAGTTTTGTTGAAGCTCTAGCTTAAGAAGAAACTTTAAAAAAAAAAAAAAAAGACTGGGATTTTTTTTCCTTATTATATACTGATTCTACAAAATAGAAACTACTTCATTTTAATTGTATATTATTCAAGCACCTTTGTTGAAGCTCAAAAAAATGATGCCTCTAAACTTTAGCAATTATAGGAATATTTATGTAACTATCTTATGCTTCAAAAACAAGAGTATTTGTGTGCATGTGTATATAATATATATACATATATATTTATACACATACAATTTATGTTTTCCTGTTGAATGTATTTTTATGAGATTTTAACCAGAACAAAGGCAGATAAACAGGCTTTCCATAGCAATGCATCTGATCACTTAGGGTTTTTTGAATAACACAATCTCATTTATCTGCAGATTAATTGGAAAGATGTGAGCACGCGTGTGTGTGTGTGTGTGTGTGTGTGTGTGTGTGTGTGTGTGCACTTTGAGCAACCAGCATCCCACCTGCTATGGAAAGGATATTCCTTTATTAAAATCTTCTTCATTTGGATTTCTTTCACTTGGTCTTCAATTCGCTCACTGGCCAGAGACATTGATGGCAATTTTTTATCTACATCACTAATCAGCTCCTGGATTTCTTTTCAAACAACTGTTTGAAACAACTACTGGAATATTGTCCACAATAAGCTGGAAGTTTGTTGTAGTTTGCCTCAGATATAACTGACTGTATTCTATAGTGTTAACTTTTCAAACAGCTCTTAGCACTTTTATACTAATGGCCCATTTGTGCATTGGTTTGCCTTTTCAAAATGCTTGTTGTGAAAGACACAGATACCCAGTATGCTTAATGTGAAAAGAAAATGTGTTCTGTTTTGTAAAGGAACTTTCAAGTATTGTTGTAAATACTTGGACAGAGGTTGCTGAACTTAAAAAAAATTAATTTATTATTATAATGACCTAATTTATTAATCTGAAGATTAACCATTTTTTGTCTTAGAATATCAAAAAGAAAAAGGTGTTCTAGCTGTTTGCATCAAAGGAAAAAGATTTATTATCAAGGGGCAATATTTTTATCTATTTCCAAAATAAATTTGTGAATGATATGTTACTGAAATAGATTTACATCAGCCTGATTAGTATAAAATTTTGTTGACAATTTATCCATTCCTGGCATAAGGAAAAAAACTTTATCAAAAAAAAATTGTAAATGCTTGCTTTTTGTTTTTTCAATCATGGCCATATGAAAATACTAACAGGATATAGGACAAGGTGTAAATTTTTTTTTTTATTTTAAAGATATGATTTATCCTGAGTGCTGTATCTATTACTCTTTTACTTTGGTTCCTGTTGTGCTCTTGTAAAAGAAAAACAAATATAATTTCCTGAAGAATAAACCGGGCATATAGCACTTGGAGTGCACCAGACTCCTGTAGTATTGTTTTTGTTTTCCTAAAGCAGAGCTGTAAAGGGATAGTTTACAGCCTGGTTCTTGGCAGCAAATAAACACTAAATCAAAACTATGCACTTCAGAAAGACTCTGGTCTAAGGTGAACACACAATGGTTTCCCAGGGTTGCCTGGTCAGCACATCTCTGGCAGCAGTGAGGAGAATGGTATCCCTCAGCAGGTGGTCCTTCCCATGGACTCCTGCACAAAGTTGTCCTTAGACTGCACTGCACAGGAGCGCTGAAGGACAAGACAAGAAGCTGAGCTGCCTGCTGTCAGTCACAAGTGAGAAAGGTGCTCATCATCAGAACAAACTGAGTATCCCTTTTCCAAAGTTTTGCAAACACAAGACCTCTTGAGGTTCTACAGTATCTCCATATATAGTGAGATAGCTTGGGGATGGGACTTAAACATGAAAAGTATTTCACATATATGCCATATAGATATAAAACTCTCTTGCTATAGGAAAGAGGGTCAAACTTGAAGCACAATCCAGAATAAGCCATAAGCAGGACAAGGGCTGCTAAACTGACCTTTAGAACTCTTTTCTTTAGTCTAAGGCACCTTACAAATTCTGTTCTAATCAATTTCTTAAATTATTAACACTGTGTCTTCAGCAATTTCACGGGATGTGGTCAGTAGTCCTGCATCTTCACTTTCCAGCCAGACACTGAAGTCCACAGTCTTCCTGGTAAATGCCACGTGCCATCAGACTTCAAACTGGGCTACAACTACAGTCAGCAGCATCTCATTGACTGGAGTAGGGAGTGCAGATGTCCTGTATACCTGAACCTCTAAGGAGGAAAAGATGCTTAAGTACACTCATTTTCTTTGGGGGAGGGAGCTGCCCAGCAGAACAGGAGGCTGGCTGCCATACTACGGCAGTGTAGTATGTATGACTCAGAAAGGTCCCTTTGCCACTTGGCCATCCAGGTTAATCAGAACCCCCCTGTGCACACTCCAGTGGTGAATTCTACATGAAGTCTAAGAATCAGCACGTGTGAGAGCAAAACCAAATAGAAACTCAAGATTCTTAAGTATGTATTATTTTATTAAATGTCATTGACTTGACTGAAACTGGCAAAAGTGTTTATTAGTGTTGTAGCCGTGAGCAGCTTTTTCTAGAAAAGCACACAGGTATAAATAAAACTGAATACAACCATGAGAATAGGCAGTACCATAGTAGCTCCTTAAGCACCTTAGAGGGCATGGACCCCTTCCAAAATACACTCTTCAGACACAGAACATCCAAGGTCATAATGATGCCAAATGGCATCCTAATGGCTCACATGTCAACAATAGTAAAATAGGCAGAAGTTGCAAAATTAGTTTCCAACAGTGTCTGGCATCCACAATTAGGCCAAAGTAGTGCAAGTTCCGCTTTACAACAGCCCACATTCCATCTCAGTCTCTGGACAATACTGGTAGGTAATAGTCTGAAGATGCTCTGAACACTCAACACTGATTCTCACCTTTACTGGAAAACAGCTATGGGTGGGTCTTCCAGTGCTTTTGTTCTTCAGTGCAGTTCAGATGGAGGAAGTCAAACACTAACAGCCACACTGTCAATTAATGACAAACATAATGGCATGCACAGTTCCTATCTCTCTCCTCAGCTCTGCTAACTTAGAAACCAGTCCACCATGGTTATGTTTTCCAAAACCTATCTCCAGAATTCAAGAGTGCCATAGCCCTCTCGGTGCTCTAATACAATGATGGATTAGTGAAGTCGTGATCAAGTAACACTGAATTGCAAATCCAAGTTCAAGTGTGCTGGGTCTCCAAAAGCAGGGACTCATGACAGCCAACTTCCAGAGTGACACTGCAGGAAATCACGCCTGGAGTCCACAGAAAGGGAAGCGCTTCCACTGTGAGCTGCTCTATGTAGGACACAGAACTACAATAGAGAAAGAAAGTTAGAAATGGATCTTCTGCATATACCCTGACTAAAACCATGAAATGTTACATACAATCTATATGTACATGAAAAGGGTCACTGTGTAATGAAGATTAGATATTAGTGCAAGAATCTGTAACAGCAGACTTCAGAAGGCTACCACCAACAATGAGTTCTCTAAGACACATTAATTAGACTTTTCCAGAAATATGACACCTAAAGGCCATGTCTCTTGGGGTACCCTATGAGATATGAGCCTATCACTCCAGCCCCAAGTCCTGTAACAGCACAGGCCCCTGGAGAAGTCAAAGAAGGGTGTTGTGAGTCTGCTCTGTAGGGCTGGAACCATGACAGCCATACCGTGGCCCAGGTCTTGGGTATGTAACTAAAGTCAACATTGGCTATAGGGTGTTATCGGTGTGAGAAGTTACATTCTCCCAGCAGCACCCATTCCATCTTAGGCCAAATGGGGTCACTTCACCTGCTTTCTCTTCTCACCTTTGCATTAAAACTAAGGAATGTATTTACATAGGCAAGCCACAGACATCTGTTTTCCCACAGTACGAGGGCCAGCTGAGCCAGGAGAAGGTGCATCACTCTCCATTCTGAGCAACAGGCCCTCCCACACAGGTCCTATTAGTGGTCCCCAGGCCAAGCAACAGTGGACAGGCTGGGTGGAAAAGAGCACTGTATTATCCACAAGCCCACACTGGCACCTCCCCTGACCCCTGAACAGTTGTACATTCTGCTCACTTTTTACAGCATCGCTGCTGCAGTCTGAGCTCTGGCTGCTCTTCAACCCAGTCTTCACAGCATGAAAGGGAGACAGAAGCACAGCACATGCAGACAGCAGCTCGCAGGAAGCAGGAAGCAGGTACAGCACAACCAACCACAGGGCTCAAGGACAGCCAATGGCCTGAGCAGGAGGGGCCAGCCCAGGAAGGGGGACTCCTGCCTCCCCAAGTGGGAGGACAAGATTTACAGTAAGGGTCCTAGGTTATCAAAAAGTGAAACTCCTTTTCTCCCCCAGCCCTGTTCCCCAGGCCATACCATCCTTCAGAAGCCACTGTCTGGCTGTCCTGGCAGTGCCTTCTAGACCACTGTAATTCATAGTCTGAGACATGTCTGGCTCATTCCTCTTTCACATCTAAGACAAACCTCAAGGCCATCCAGCTTTCATACCAATGCTAGCATAACACAAAAGCAAAGATGTCTCTTACAAAAAAAAAAAATCATTAATAGGGAGAAAAGGCCATCCATGGGGGAGAGAGGGAGGAACTTTTAAAAGGTGCTGACTCGGCTTTTTTGACCATGTTAACCTGCAGACCAACGGCTGGCTGTTGTTGCTACATGTCAAGTCTCCACACATGATACTTGGGCATCATTCACTGTGAGCCCCCTTTTTATGAAAATACAGCTGAATAAAAAGCCCATCGGAGACAGCAAATGTAATGTCTCAGGACTACAACATTTTTGTCTCCTGCTGACTGGAGGAAGACACAGAAGCAAAGCAGTAATGAAAGGAGCTTGCTCTCCAAGTCCAGTTGACTACGAGATGGAAGTTTCTTGCCACTTTCAAATCTGGTCTGTAAACAGACGCTGCCTTTAAAAATGAGCCCTCTGTACAACATTCACTTTTCCTAGAACTGAGTGAGCTCTCTAGTTCCTCAATTGAGGAGGCACTATTAAACATTTTCCCTTTTCTCAGCAAAATAAGGCCCATATCTTCTGGCTTCTTTTCCCTCCTCAATACACGCCCACCCCCCTTAGTAGACCACTGTTGAGAAATCTCCATTTTTCTCCTTCCCTTCTCTACCTAAGCGTTTGTTCTGTTCTGTGCTCCTCTTGGCACTGTCCACAGTTTCTCCTCCACCATCGCCCCTGGCAGATCTATCATTCTTTTTCTATTGTCCTCCAGGTAACAGACACCACCCTTCCCAAATCTCCCAGGACCAACATGTCCGCGCCTGATACTCAGAGTTGACATGTCTTCTAATTATTTTAAAATTTTATTATTTTTTTGAGGTAGGGTCTCACTATATACCCCCTGGCTGTCTGGAACTCTCTATGTAGACCAGGCTGGCCTCAAACTCAGAGATCCACCTTCCTCTGCCCCCCACATCCTGGGATTAGAGGCATGCACCACCACACCCAGAGCCCAGTGTCTTTTTAATTCTCTACTTCCCTCTCTGCAAAGTGTTCACCACTCAGCTGTGGGAATTCTTTCAGCCCAGGATCTCAAATAGAAGCTGCACTTTGTAGAGCTCTAATGTTCCAGTCACACACCAGTCGCCTATGCACTGTCACTGTACATTAACAAAGCTGTGTGTGCATTTTACTCTACCAACAAGACCGTGCATTTACTGATAAATCACAGCTCCTCAGCCACTGCTCCCAGTCATAAAACTCACCTTTCAATATATAATCGGTTAACAAGCTTGGAACTTTCTCACTGTCCTCCTTCATGGCACGCAGAACTGCAAAATAAGAATCACTTAAGGTTCAGAACAAAAATGACGTTTGGCATCACTTGATTTATCTATATCTAAATGTAAGACTTTGTATGCACTGCTCACTGTGGAAAAGAGGAAACAACTGAGGTTAGCAGCAGCCAAGTGATAAGAGGAAGCCACCTGACCACCTCAGGGTTCCTATCCATTGTCACCATCAATATCTACCTACACGGTACGTTTTCATTTCCTTCTGGTAAGCAATTATCATACATGTACAATTAGAAGTAACCTAATTATCAAATCTAATCCTTTCTATTTTGTTTGTCTTGAGAATGGGGTCTCACTCAGTACCCCAGAATGATTAAATCTCATAATCTCATGGCAATCCTCCTGCCTCAGCACCCTCTGTACTAGATCACATATGTGAGCCACCATGGCCAATCATCAATCCCTTCACCTTCTTCTTTCTTTTTATTTTTTTTGTTTTATGAAATTTGGACAGCTATTTATTTATTGACTAGGTGGGTGGTTGTTTTGCTTATTTGTCTATCTGTGTATCATGTATGTGTTTGTCACCTGTGGAGGCCAGAAGGGGGCATTGGATTCCCTGGAACTGAGTTACAGACAGCTAGAGCTGTCATGTGGGTGCTGGGAATTGAAGCCAGGTCCTTTGGAAGAGAAGCCAGTGCTCTTAACTTTCGAGCCATCTCTACAGCCCAAGCCAAGCTGATTGTGACTGAACCCAAACCATATATAATTTATTTGCTATAGGGTAAACTGAGAAAATATTTTTATTTTTCAATGCTGCCAAGAAAGAGAAAGTGACTTCCAAGAATATCCCTGAAAATGAAAGAGTCACCAGGTTTCTGTGGCCCTTTGTAACTAAGACATGTTTAACACTACATCTATTTATTAATCTCACAAACCATTTTCAAATGTAGGGCCATACACAGGCAGAGCACCTCTGTCTGTGTTACTCATCAGCATTCCTAAAGTACTCAGGAAAAGACCTGACACACAGCAGACCCTTGCACTGTTTGCTAAGTGAGTGCATGTTCTGGAAGTCTCACTGCTAACTCTCCCTACAACTAGTGACTCTGATTTTCCATTCACAAGAAGTCAGGGTGTTTATCTAAAAATCACTCTAAGTCTGTCCTACTCAGCCACTAAGTCACATAAGAGCCACAAAGCATTTTATTCATTGACAAACAGATACGTTCCCATGTAAAATGATGAAGATTCAAGTTACCTGTTTTCTATTTTTAAAAAAGAAAAAAAAAAAAGAAACAACAACAACAAAAAAAAAAACCTTAGTGTGGGCTGGAGCAGAGCACTGCTCTTCCAGAGGTCCTCTTCCAGAGGACCCAGGTTCAATTCCCAGCAACCACATGGTGGCTCGCAACCAACTATAATGAAATCTGGTGCCCTCTTCTGCCCTGCAGGTATATATGCAGGCAGAATGCTGTGTATATAATAAATAAATCTTTAAAAACAAAATTTAGTTTAGATAAGTCAAAAATTAAGGGGAAAAAGTTCAAACAAGAAGCACCAGAGTTAGCACTGCATTTGATATTATAGTTATTTATTCCACTGTCATAAGAATAAAAGATGCCATCCATCATTCACCAACCTACACTGACAAAATAAACTAAAATCCAGACATGAAAACCAAGAGTTTAAGAATCAGCAAAAGTCAAGCGAGTAAGCATTTAAATTTGTCTTTGCTCACTTTTTGTTAATATCTGAAGATCCTCGACAGACGGTGGGCCATTCTTTTTCTCGTAAGGGATGACTGTCGTCAAATACTGCCAAGTGAAGGGGAGAAACGAAACGTCATTCAGGTGGGAATGAGTTTACCTTCAGAACAATGCAGTTCCTGGAAGACCTGCTCTAAAATGTGAACCAGAGCTGGTTTGGAGATGAGTGCACAGGCACAGGCAGCAATCCCCCAAGTCTGACTTTCAGCTGGGGCTCATTTTTCTCCCCAGTTCTCCCTGCTGAGTGCAAGCCTCGTGTCACCATAAACAACCACCTTCCTGTGGTTCAGTCATGGAACATTCCTCAGAACAAAATCTGAGGACAACTGGCTCGATTTGCTCATTTTCAGGGTAGAGCCTCATCTAGCACGCTCCTTGCATGATTTTCAACACAGCTTCAAAACATTAACTAAGCTAACAGCATAGTTTTAACAATACTATGCAATTGGTAACTTTTGGCAGTCGAATCATTCCCTTTCAGACCATTCTGACTCTGGCTGAAGCAACAGTCAACACAAATAACATGACAACATTTCGGAACAAAAACCAGCTTCTAGATATGAATAACAAAGACTCACTTCCCCCCCAAAAAATTGCTGAAACATAATTAATATTTAAATGATTGTATTAAGTATGCATAAATGACTTTAGATATTAGAAAGGGGAGATAGAATGGCCTAGAAGGTAAATGAATAATAATCTCCAAATTTGTGTCAAATTGCCCAGCCAGTTCACTCCCTCTGAAGGCTCATGATTATCACACTTGTGTCCAGTGAGAAAAGCAAAGACAATCTCATGAAGCATGTTCTAGAAATAACTGTCTAAAATCTTCTATTCTGTAGTTCAGGGCAGCTTGCAAAAGCTCGCACAGAAAGTTAGTGCCCTGGCCAGTCCTTGAGCTGCTTCAAGCTTGTCCTCCATGTTGGTTCTCAACTCCAGCTCTGTTCCTAATCCCCATGGACTGTGAGAGTCTATAAATAAAAACAACTGGGCCTGAGGTCCAGACAGTAGGGAAATCGAGCTGTTCCACTTTTTAAACCACAGTGCCCCACAACCTTTCTGGACTTCTCCAGGTAAGTCTCAACTGTAGACCAAGTATGTTTCTTTATAAAAAAAAAAAATGCCCATAAAAGACAGGAATGTGCCCACCTCAGATTCCAGTCATGGCATACATCAAGCAATGTGAAGAAGCATCAGGACTTTGTGCCCTGGCTGTAGACCTACCTCCTCATGAGTCAGGTCAGTCTGGAAGCCATTTCTCCTTCTTGCAGGTTGAGGGAGGTAAGTGGTAGAGAATAAAAACTAGAATTCCACCATCCCCACAGAGCCCCTCTATCAGTTAATGTCAGTGCAAGCCTGCCCTCTTTAATACCAGTTCTCTCCCCTCTTGAGAGATACATAAAAACCTTCTGTAGAATCACTAGGCATTGGGTCCATTTGATAAACTGCCTACACGTTATACTGGCACACCTTCTTAATCATGCAAGACCTAGCCTAAGGGAGTGTCTTTCTTCAAATGGAATTTCCAAAAAGTGAAAGATAATTTCAAACACAGTCACCAATGTATACATTTCCCATGTCTGCAACCCTCTTTGAATTATGCAGAACTGTAAATACAAACCAAGCCACTTCACATCTGACTGCACAGACTCACAGCATATAATTCTGCACACGTGATATCTCGTTCCTCACTTGGCCGACAACTGAGCTGGCTCACTATACAATATGCCCGATTTCAGATAAAAGTGGTAAAATGTATTCTCTGCATATTTTTTTACCTAAGACTCTTAATCTCAAATATACCAACCTCTGGCCACATTCTCCTTAAAATGAGATTTTCTTTCGCAGATTTTTAGAAGTATCATGTTCCAGTTCAGTTGTTTGCACAGCCAGCCCTTTCTGTGCATGCAATCCATCATGTCAGTACACGAATATATTTGTTAAAGGTGGGCATGAGAAATGGGGCCCTGAAACCTGCTTGAGAGTGCAATTAGTCTGTTGTCCAATCTGAATGTTTTTCCCCCAGAGGGGGATTCTGTTTATTATTGGGACTACAGATACAATGAACGGTGGTCTTAATGAATTAGTAAAAGTGCCAACTTTCAGGGCCCTCACACAGACAAGGAGCAAGCAGGAGGAGAGGAAAATAAGGATAACGGAGCACCTGCTTCTCTCCACCTGAGTTTCCAAAGGTGTGGCGGAGGCCATTCTGAATGACGTTTGAGATCCCTTCCATGCTGAAACGCTAAAGGCAGCAGTATATGGCCCAGGAGGAAGAGGACAGAGAAAAGTTCAGAGACTTTTAATAGAAGGTTCCGTGATGACTTTCTGCGCCCAATAGACAAGCAGTTAGAAAATGCCACAATTACTCATTCTCATAAAGCAGACAAAAATCATGCTGTTTAGAAACTGGGCTTCCATTCCCATGTGAGTCCAATGCAAAAACAACTGTTGGTAGGCCATTACACACACCCACGGAGATCTTTCCCAGTGTAACTAATAGATTTGTTTCAATTTTGTTATAAATGTCAGCTGCACACACATCTTATTAAAAAGTTTACCACAATCTTTAAGAAACCTTTTGATACTGTTTACCTACATTTTATCGAAAGACTGACAACTGGATCCTATTGTGGGCTGAAGTTCATGTCTTCCCACCATCAGTTTGGGGAAGAGGAACATTTGGCAGATGAACACACTGCCACTCAGAGTCAACTGTTCCCACTCACTCTCCAGGCAGCTGCCATGGCCTTGCTGCCGCAAATGTGAATTGAAAGATGGCTTATGCTTCCTGGGGAGCAGAATGGATTCCATTTTACCAGTTAAGCTCCCCAAAACTTTTGTAAAGACTATCCACTCTGCTTTTTGAAAACAATTTCAGCTTATTTCTCCTGGCACCCTCCAAGACTTCCTAGAATTCACTGTACTCAGATGAGACTTTGTGTTCCTTTCGGTGACTTAGCTTGGTTTGTCACCAGTCTGAACAGTGGCATGCAGGGTAAAGGGGCCACTGGTACGTACCTACCAGCTGAGTCAAAGGCAGCAGAGAGATTCTTGCAACATGACTAACTAAGGGAAAGGCTCCTGAAAAGGAAGTTGTAGTCTGACTCACCGGATGGTGCCTTTCCCTGGAATTTCAGGGGGAAAGTTGAGCCAGTAAACACTGAAGGAATAAACTTAAAGATATTTTTCCAGGTCCCAAGGAAACCACAGCAGTTGTCTCTGCTCCCATAAAATCTATACAATAGTCCAAGTGATCTCAAAGTGTGGTCCAGGCACAATTTAAGAGACCACTGAACTTCTCTTAGAGGTACATGAACTCAAACATCTCAATATTATCAAGACATCACTTGTCTTTAATTACTGTTGTATAGTCATCATGCATAGTTAGGTTTCATACAATTTCTTTTGAGTATATAATGGACTCTGGTCATATACAGCACTCCCATTCACTCAGTCTGTCACAGCTTATAGTGTAATATTCCAAAGGACAGACAGAATGCAGAAGTTGGGACCCGTGTCCTTTACACTGCACATCAACAGACTGGCAAAAACAAACACCAATTGACATTCTTCTAACCAAAAGCTTTAACGTTATATTCTAGGAAAACTTACCATTTATATAAGAATTAATCATTTAATTTTGGTACTTTCAATAAATTAATTTTTATTAGTTTTAATTTTTAAGAGTAAATATTGATCAATTCAATATGTATGAAGCAAAGCCCTGTGAGGCCTTCAATAAAGAGTGTAAAGAAACCCTGGTTAACAAAGAACTAAGAAATACAGAAAGAGTTACCCCTCGAGGAGGCAGGCCATGTGCTTCTGGCCCAGCCACACCAGTCAAAGGCACTAGAGGACAGTGACGGCACCCACACATGTCCTGTGGGAGTTGTTCAGCACACCTCTCCTTCACCATCCTCCTGTCCCACCTTTTCCAGATCCATACCCACCAAGAGTTTTATGTTTGCAAACATCATTTATCAGGTAAAGATATTTTCATGGTCCCTCACTCTGCTGAGAATGTAACTTTTTTTGTGTGTGTGGATTTTGGAGACAGGGTTCTGTGGAACTCCAGTTGTAGACCAGCATGGCCTCACAGAGATCCACCTGCCTCTTGCCTCCTCTTGCCTCCTCTTTTGCCTCCTCTTGCCTCCTCTTGCCTCCTCTTGCCTCCTCTTGCCTCCTCTTGCCTCCTCTTGCCTCTTGCCTCTTGCCTCTTGCCTCTGCCTCTGCCTCTGCCTCCTGAGTGCTGGGATTAAAGGTGCCATCACACCTGGCTAATTACTTTTGGTGGAAGATATGGTTTTTACAAGAAAAACCTACAAACAGCTGTTTTGTAGATTCTTCACACACTACATTGTAATTTGTTCCCTGTTTTTAAAACAGATTATCCAAAGAGGTGACATCTGAGGCTCCAGAGTCAGCAATGAAAACAATAAGAAACCATTTTCAAGTAATCAGCCCATGACTACAGAACACATTCCCTTGAAAAGGCACTCAATGCTTGCTTTTGGGCTGCACTACCTGGCTCCATTTTCAATAGAAACTCTAAAGCTAGATAAGAACTCAGAAAACCTCAAGCTAGACAAAGGAGTCAGAACTCACATACAAGAAAACTTAACTACATTTTCTATTTGGAGAGTACAGACCAAATTCATGAGCTTTATTTTCCCAATCAAAACCGAATTATGATCACTGAAAGAAAAAAAAAAAAGAGGTCAATGCACATTCATAAGATGTATATACAATTTCAAATTTCTTTTTTAAATACAAGATGTGAACACTACTGGACTATTTCAATTACAAGGAAGTGAAGGATGATGTTTACGCCATCGAAATTGCAATCTGGTAGAAAGAAGTGAAAATGCAAGCACAGGAAACCAAAGCAAGCTGGAAAACACAAAACCACCTACTGATACTAGCAAAAGAAGCTGAAGTTCAAGTTTCTACACAAAACCTCTGCCATGCCTGGGCTGGCAGACACAGCCAAGGGCACCCAGCCCCTGAGCGAGCACTCCCCAGCCAACAGCCAAGACAGAGAAGCAATATGGCAGATTGGCAAGACTCTATTGTGCCTTGCACCACTACAAAACAAAACAAAAAAAAAAAGAAAAAAACAACTAAGTAGACAGTCAAGAGATTTTAGGGATGTACAAGTGTATGTGTGCCTGTGTGTGTCTATATGTGTATGTATGTGTGTCTAAGGAGGGGTCATGCTACACTGTCCAGACTAGTTCCAAACTCCTAGACTCAAGCCATTCTCCTTCTTCAGTCTCTGAGGGATTGGGACAACAGGCACATGCCAAAAGCTACTGTGCCCAGCCATTAAAAATATTTTTAATGGGAGATATAGGGCAAGTATCTGAAGAAAGATGGACAGGAGTGAGGGCAGAGAAAGATTAAGTCAATTTTTCATAAATTCTATGGAAACACAGTCAAATGAGATACACCTTTATGTCCCTAAAAGCACAGCCTTGTCCTCAGCATATGAGGACCTGATCAATGGCCTTAGCCACAGGCTCTATAGTAACTTCTATTTATGATGGTCAAATACGTGCAAATTTTTACATGAATCCAGGAATCACATGCCAGTCAAAAGTATCTGAAATCAGAAAAAAAAATAATAATTGTAATGTCAACTTGGGTAGGAAAAGGCCAGACTCAAAATTAGCGTTCTGGGTCTTCTTCCACCTCCTCCACCTTGTGGTGAGAGCACTGTTAATCACCGACTGAGGCCTACATCTTCACAAGGAGATGGTCAAGAGATGGAATTTGAAGGACTTCTGAATATTCTATGATATGTGAATTACCTCAACCAAAAGGATACATTATTTTTTAAAAAGGAAATTAAATCAAAGCTACACACACACACACAGATACACACCCACAAACCAACCATTAGACAACCAAAGTGCCACACAAAACTAAGTGTTCCAGAATGACAGCAGTGCACAGCATATAACAAGGTCAATGGTCTACTTCAAGTCTTTGTTTCCTTAGGAGGAAATGAGTATGTTCTCAAGACAGAGACTGGGTCTCCGCATCACTCCATCACAGTGATTTTCACAGGGCCTGGGTCACAGGAAGGGATTGTAAAATTACCTGCCATACTCCAGGTGCCACACCCCTAACACCAGAAGCCAAGAGCCTCTGAGCCTGGATTTTTTTTTCACCTTAGAACATCTTAGAAGAGAGAAAGAAAAATAACCCAAAGAAAAAAAGCCACCTAAGTGTGAACAGAGAACAATGGCATGACGGGACACAAAACTATTGATCAAAAGAGAGAAATATGGCGTCCCAAAAGTTTCCAACAAGGGATCTAGCTTAGGAAATCAACACAAGAATAACAAAGTCAGGCAAAATAATCTCGATAGTATGATCTGTAAAAAGTGCAGTAGCTGAGAACTAACCACCCAGGCTAATAAAGGGAAACAGAAGAAGATCAAGGAGACAAAGGGTGAGAGAATAGAAGAGCAAAACAAGAGGGAAGTGGAAGAACCTGGAAAAGAACCAACCCCACAGACAAACGGTAGGTTCTGCCTCACAACTGCTCCATCACTTAAAAACAAACACACCACATTTTTGGAAAGCAAAATGTATTTTAGTTAGGTAAGACCTCAGCGGTAAATTAAATTGACTTTTTGAAACTATGGTGCCATTGAGAAATGCTAGACTTACAACCTGGAGAACAAATGCAGTATTATTAGGCGGTCATGGTGCTAAACTGGAGCAGAGGTAAGAATCCTTTCTAAATCTAAATGTTATAAGAAAAGGAAGAAAGTGGGGAGAGGGCATAAGGGGCATTTCTCTGTTCTCCATTTCCCGAGGTGAGGAACCACAGACATGTCAAGGCACTGGCCACTAAGTCTCCAGCCAATGAATACTGAAAGGAATGATCCTGGAGACTTGTTACATTTTAATAAAATGCCTCAGTAAGATGAATGAAAATACTAGGAATGTCAGGAGCCAATCTTCCATCCCTCCTTCTCCCCCCATTCAATCTACCATCCTGCTTAGGAATCAGAAAATCCAAATGGCCCAGCACATAAGTGAAACCCTGGGCAGGTGCTGGTTCTATCTCCGCTGCATCTTTAGGAAGGAGTTAATGATTCCATAAAATGCCCTGCTTGGAATGGAATGTTTTGCATGAACCCATACATAGGCAGGAAGGTGATTAAACATTATAGCATTTGCCTTATTGTTGCCCTTGCTACAGACAAAATACCAAAGTCATAGAGCAAG